TTTAGGGATGAATTCTAAATAGTCACTTATTTTTAGCACTTTGAACAGTTGACAGCTTTAACTGCCACCCATGGCAAACAGAAGCTTCTCTGACCAAACCTGATGGCGGCACTAACCCGTGGTCATAAACATAAATACTTAGAAGAAGTCAGTTTGACAGACAAAACCCATCATGTCCACTTAGCGAAACAGCAGCAGTTGCTTTCCCACTGGGCTTTTGAACAAGTTTACAGTACCCAAGGTGAATTCCTTTCTGGGGGTTGAACCTCAGATCCAATCAGAAAGCAGTTGGTTATTATCCCCCAAAGCAGGGCTACCACTATTGCATCAGTTGGTTGGCATAATTCGCCTGGCAAGTCCCATGCAGGGTTCACAGCTGAGTGACACTCACCTCCAGCAGTGGCATATAGGTGTACACTATTGTACTCATTTCCCAAATACTTTTTGTGTGTATTTGGGATGAGCTCTAGATTTGCTGATACCTGTGAGTAATTCCTTTAAAGTTCTTTAATCATAAGGGCTCATGCCTTGTGGAATAAAATTTGTGTACTTTTAGGGGTCATTATCTCTATTAAATTCCCCTCAAGAGGTAGCTAATGGGTATTGGGGCCAGACTGCTCCTCTTGAATCTTTTTTTTTTTTTTTTTTTTTTTTTGGTTTTTCGAGACAGGTTTTCTCTGTGTATTTTTGCGCCTTTCCTGGAACTCGCTTTGGAGACCAGGCTGGCCTCGAACTCACTCCCGAGTGCTGGGATTAAAGGCGTGCGCCACCACCGCCCGGCTCCTCTTGAATCTTAACTCTTCTCCTCCCAGACGTGTGTATGTAACCTTGGGCAGGTCACCATGCTGTTCTGTGCATTTGATTCATTGTGGACGATGGATTAGGAAAGGATGAAATAAATAACTGGATGTAAAAATGCTTAGTGTAACATTTGAGAAAATGCCATGAGGGTTTATGTATTTGGCGTGGCTAGGGTATAGGGCCTGGGGTTTTTTTTGTAGGTTATTACATGAAGTATGAAGTTCAAAAATAGTTTTAAGCTGCTGGCGGTGCACGCCTTTAATCCCAGCACTGGGAGGCAGAGGCAGGTGGATCTCAAGGAGGTCAGAAACCTGTGAAGAATAAAAAATGACAGAAAAAAGGCTTTAAAGATTTAGCCTTGTGGCAGAGTCAGTCATCTGTGGACTCACGTCTCTTTTCCTGCTTGCTTTTGTCTTAGCTGTGCTCTCAGAGACTAGCTAGTCCTCTTCCATCACCACCAGCCTGTTTTAGTGAAGTGAGTCAGTCTCCCAACTGCTTCAGTTTTCATCTCCTGAAAACCCATCTGGTCATTTCGGTTTTGATTTTTCTTCAAAGCTCTGGAATGTGTCCATTTGGCACCGCGCGGGTGTCAGGGCTGCCTGGGCCCCATGTTCTGTGCTCTACTTCAGACCCCTTATGTTGCAGAGCACATACTTGTGCTTAGCAGAGGGTGTGCTTGCTGAGTGTGCTGAAGGTGATTGGATGTGTACAGGCCTGTCTTAGAAGAAGGAATTCTGGATGACAGATGAGTCATCGTCTTGGTCCATATGGCTTTGGAGAAGCGTTCTGCTAACTGTGGGTGGAAATCAGCGCAGTGGATACAAGCCAAGGGAACACTAAGTCGGGTGGGGGATGGTGTGTGTTCCTCCTGGCCAGCGCCATCCTTGTTAAAATGTTTTGTGTTGTCTACCTTCATGGAGCTTGGAAAAGAAACACCCGTTTTTGTTTTTGAAGTAGAGTCTCACTGTGAGGCTCAGATGACTTCAAACTCCTGATAATCCTCTGTGTAGCCTCCCAAATGCAGGGATTACAGATGGGAGCTACCATGGTTGGCTTTCAAAAGATTTTTATTTGGTGCATTGGTCAGCTTGCATTGTTATGACAATGGTTAAGATGAGTCATGGGTGAACAAAAAGTTTTATTTAGTTTGAAGTTATGTGTGTGGGTGTATTAGCTACTCTTCTGTTGCTGTGATGAGATACTATGACCAAAAGCAGTTTATGGAAGAAAGAGTTAATTTTTGCTAGGGCTCCAGAGTGAGTCCATAATGGCAGGGAAGAAGCAGGCAACTGGAGCAGGAAGAAGCAGAGGGGTCATACCTTCAACAGCAGACACAAAGCAAGATAACAAAATGGAAGTGTGGCAAGGCGAGATATGTGTGTGTGTGTGTGTGTGTTTGTGTGTGTGTGTGTGTGTGTGTGTCTGTCTGTCTGTCTGTCTGTCTGTCTGTCTGTCTCATCTGCCCAAATAGCAACACCAACTGGGACTAAGTATTTCAATGCCTGAGGTGCGGGGAACATTTCTTATTCAAACCACAAGATCAAACAGCATAGTGAGGGCCCCCTTCAACTGCATCCTGTCATAATCAGTTGCATCTCAGTAAGGGCACACACACAAGGAGAGGTTTCATGATGTAATTCAGGAAGCCAGAGTTGGTAGGGTGCCATGCTCCTTGATGTTGTACAAGTCTCATGGTAATCAACTCATGGAGTCCTCAAGAACCATGGTGATCACTTCCAAGGAAGGTACACATACCTCTCCCCTTCCCCGTGTCTTCCCGTTCATCTGTACCTCTAAACAAGTCACATCATCTCTCACATTGTCTCACTGGTTACTAAGTCTCCGGACATGGACCTTTGGGGAAGGTGCACAACTCATCCAAATCATAGCATTAGTTTTCATGGGAAGCACTGTTGCAATTTGGAAAATAATTTTTAAGGCTTTTAATTCAAGATAAAGATAACTCTGGGTTTTCTTAAACATGTTTTCACTGACATCTTTTTGATTGAGATTTTATATTGCCTTTGGCATATAAGTTTATAAAATAGGTATGCAAAGCTCATCAAGTTACGGTGCTTGATACCAACCAAGGCTAACTATTTGAGTTTGACCCCTTGGACCTAAGGGTGGAGGAACAGAACTAACCCCCTAAGTTGTCCTTTGACCGTTACAGGCATACTCTTTCCTGCTTACCCCCCCAATAAATAAATGTAATATGAAATTCTAAAATAGGCATACAGACCAAACATTGGCTAGTAATAATCATACATTTGTTTTGTTTATTTTGGGGGCAGGGTCTGTGTAGCCTTGGCTGACCTGGAACTCTTTACACTGGACTGGCTGGTCTCTAACTCACGGAGAACCTCCTGCCTCTGCCTCACAAGTTTGTAGGATTAACGGTTCACACCGTGAACAGCATCATCACGTTTCTTACGGTGAAAGCACTGCAGTGTGCTGGCTGTGGTGGCACACCGGGCGCCATGCTCGGGTGCATGAAAGTAACCATCTTTCCCCTTCCCATTTTGATACAAGGTCTCTCGCAGCTTAGGCTGACCTTAAACTCATTATCTAGATAGCCAAGCGTGACTTAATTCCGATGCCAGTAGCCCCACACCCGACACCTGAGACATTTCAGGTGTTGGCCTTGAGCATAGTGGCCTGGGCAGTGCAAAGAGTGCAAGGCAGCAGTGAAGTCACCCCCATAGCTTGCTTCCTTACACACGTGCTTTTCAATTCAGAAACTTTCTGTTGCCAGATGTTTTTCAACCCCGCAATCAGTTACATATGTGTCGAGACTCATTTTAAGAAGCTGGAATTATATTAAACAGGCTGCGTTTCATTGTGAACAACAGTACGAACTCACCGGTTCTTTCTGAAGGGGATTCTATTTTTAATATATTCATTCTTCTGCCCAGAAGTCAGGCTGTTTTGAATGCACAGTCTTGCCTTGCCTGCTTGTCTTCCTGTCGAGTGATCTCAGACCTGAGACATCCCAGCATGCCTGCCCACCCACTCGCGCCTTGGAAGGAAGTGCATGTGAAGACAGTGGACCAGCGGTCCTGGGGCTGAGGGCTCTGCCCTTTCTTTGCAGAGTTGGTTTTAGCACATTAAACTGGCTGTGACCTCATCTCCTCTGTATTTCCCTTTTCGAGGCCGACCTCTGAAGAGTGTCATTCCCCACCGGGCAGCAGATGTCTACTGGGAAGGAACAATACACTCCGTTTCATCACATCTTAGCGAATGCCTGGAGCAGTTTTCCCGGTTGCCCTTGTGATAGTGTGATTCTGGATGTGTGATAGACCTGTTTAGAAGGTTACTGAGGAGTTGCAGTTGGGTAGAATGGAGAACAGCCCCACTTTGAGAGAGTATGAGCGCTTCCACGTATTGAGAGGCCAGCTCTGGAGATTTCTAAACTATGTGGGATACAGGTGTAGCTGATTCTGCACTGAACTGGTGACAGCGAGGGAGGGAGGGAGGGAGAGGGGAAAGCATGTGTTGAGGAGGGACTATGGCTGGTGATATGGCTCTATTGGTGAAAGTGCTTGCCACTCAAAGCCTGATGACCTCAGTGCGATTCCTGGAACCCATAGTGGAAAGAGAGCTGATTCTGAAAAGTTGCCCTCTGACCGCTGCAGATGTGCTATAACATATGTGTGTGAGCACTGGAGTGTGTGCATACAAGAACACCTGTGCACACACACAGTGCATAGAAGCATACTTAAGCACTCTGACACAGCAGGGGTGGAAGATGGACATGCTGCCAACCTGTTAGATGAGGTGACATCCATGTTCAGGAGATAAATGGAACTGGCATTACGGAAAGTCATGGGCATGTGTTTAGAATAGTCTTGGTGTCACATTTCTGGAGGCCCCAATACAGTGCATACATATTTGGTAAGTTTTTCTGTATCTATGGTGAAGAATTTGAGCAGCGGTGCTTAACTGACTACGGCTAAGCCAGCATGGAGGCACACACTCAGGGTACAGAGGCAGGAGGCGCTCTCTGAGTCATACCTAGCAAGTTCCAGGCCATCCAGGGCTACATAGTGAGACCATATATAAAAAATATCGGGGTTGGGGATTGAGCTCAGTGGTAGAGCGCTTGCCTAGCAAGCACAAGGCCCTGGGTTTGGTTCTCAGCTCCAAGTTTGGCTCACTTTTTTGGTTTTTGGTTTTTGGACACATTCTCTTTTTTTTTTTTTTTTTTTTTTTTGGTTTTTCGAGACAGGGTTTCTCTGTGTAGCTTTGCGCCTCTCCTGGAACTCACTTGGTAGCCCAGGCTGGCCTCGAACTCACAGAGATCCGCCTGGCTCTGCCTCCCGAGTGCTGGGATTAAAGGCGTGCGCCACCACCGCCCGGCTCACATTCTCTTTTTAACCCTGTTGCGGTGTCAGTCTTTTCTCTCTTGTTCTTCACATGTAGACCTTCCCGTGTCTCCTTCCTGTGGGCTTGATTTTCTTTCCTGAAGGATCAGTGCTATTAGTTTTCTGTTGCTGTGATAAAATGTCACGATTGATGGCCACTTAAGGAAGAAAGGGTGTATTGCAACTTATGGTCCCAAATCGATCGAGCCCATCATGGTGAGAGGAAGGCATGGCATGTTGGCCCATCAGGAGCTTGACTGTTCACATATCACCTGCACACAAGGAGAGGGAAGAAGGAGAAGGCTATAAATCTCAAAGCCTATCCCTTCCTAGAAACATACTTCACTGCACCTCCTATAAAGTTCAATAAACTCCCCCAAAAACTGCCAGTTGGGGACCAACTGTTCAAATTCATGAACCTTTAAGAGACCTTTGTCATGCCAGTCACCATGATCAGACTTTTTTGTTGGTTTTGGTTGATGATTTTTGTAACCAGGTAGCCATGATGCTATCACCCAGATGGGTACATCTTTTAGTTTGTGTATTAAAATTGATCAGATAATTTGGGGGGGTAGGCAGCGGGTTTGAGACAGGGTTTCTCTGCAGCCCTGGCTGTCCTGATGATATTCACTCTGTATTGAACTCAAAGCTACCTGTCTCTGCATTTGTGTGCTGGAACTAAAGGTGAATGCCACCACTGCCACCTGGCTTGATCAGATAATTTTTTGCCAAGTCCTCCTTCTTCTTCTTCTTCTTCTTCTTCTTTTTTTTTTTTTTTTTTTTTTTTTTGACAGGGTTTCCCTGTGTAGCTTTGAGCCTTTCCTGGATCTCGCTCTGTAGACCAGGCTGGCCTCGAACTCACGAAGATCTGCCTGGTTCTGCCTCCCGAGCGCTGAGATTAAAGGCATGCGCCACCATCGCCCAGCTGGCAAGTCCTTCTTTTTAAAAATTTAATTTATTGCTGGGCTGGTGGTGTTGCACGTCTTTAATCCCAGCACTTGGGAGGCAGAGCCCGGTGAATCTCTGAGTTCAAGGCCAACCTGGTCTACAAAGCGAGATCTAGGACAGGCACCAAAACTACACAGAGAAACCCTGTCTCGAAAAAACAAAACAAAATTAATTTATCTTTCAAATTTCTGTGTATGTTTAAGTGTATGCCATGTCTGAGCATGTGCCTGAGGAGGCCATCTAATATGGGTAGTAGGAACTTAACTCTGGTCTCCTGGGAGAACATCAAGTGCTCTTAACTGTGGAACTATCTCTTTGGTCCCCAAGATTCTGCTTTCTAACAAGGTCATTAAATATCTTCATATTCTCAAAAGAAATAACTTTATTACCATTTAAATAGTGTGTTGAGGGAAAGCACAGAGCTTCACTAGAGACGAGAGACTCGTTTTAGTGAGACCAGCTAGCTAATGGTTTTCTAAATAGCAATAATGTCGAGTTACATTCAGTGGGGACATGAAGAGACATTGTGGTGATACCTGATTTGGATTTTTCTCTTTATCCCTATCCCCTGTCCCCTTTTTTGAGATGGACTCTACTGTATCCTAGGATGGTTCCCAGTTTCCTATAACAGTAGAGGCTGGCCTTGACTCCTGATCCTCATCTACCCCTTGAGTGCTGGGATAACAGGCACATTCCATCATGGTCAATTCAAGAGATGCTGGGGAAGTTCACTACCACTCAACCACATGCTCTTCCCCCCACGACTTGTCACATTGCTCAGGCTGCCCTCCACTGCCCTGCCTTAGCCAGCCTTCCAAGTAGCTGATGCAGGTCTGTGTGCACTATGAATTTTTTTTTCTTTCTTTCTTCTCTTTCTTTTGGTTTTTAGAGACAAAGTTTCTCTGTTTAGCCCTGGCTGTCTTGGAACTCACTGTGTGGACCAGGCTGACCTCGAATTCACAGAGGTCCACCTGCTTCTGCATCTGCTGGGATTACAGGTGTATGCACTACCACCAGGCAGCCAAGCTGCTTTTTGAATGATTTTTCCTCATTCATAAAAGAGTCCCGTTTTTGGTATAGGTTTTATAAGTATTGGTTACAAGCATGGAAATGATTTGTTTGTTCGAGACAGGGTTTCTCTGTAACAGCCCTGATTATCCTGGAACTTGCTTTGTAAACTAAGAGATCTGCCTGCCTCTGTCTCCCCAAATGTTGTTATTAAAGGTGTGTACCAGCATGGACAACCACACTTGGCCCACAAGCGTGGAACTCTTAAGGGGTTCTGGACATATATATGGTTAAATTGTAGGCATGTGTTATTGTCATTAATTAATATCAATATTATTTGTACTGTGTTTTTTTTTCCCCCCTCAGAGTTTTTGACACAGTCTCATGTAGCCCAGGCTGGCTTTGGATTCTCTAATGTAGCCAAGAATGACTTTAAACGCCTCATCTTCTTGCTTCCACCTCCCGAGTGCTAGGAATATAGGGCTGTCATCATGTCCGGTTCATTCTGTGCCAGAATCACTGTGGCATCACGTTCATTTGTATATTCAGTTTCTCAGCTCCCTGCTCCGCAGTGTAGGCAGACACTGTGTCTGGGTTACTCTACAAGGCAAAGGCTTCTTTCTGAACATTATGTCCGTTTCAGAAAAAGATCTCACCTGCAGCCAGTGGCTGAGCCCTCGTGGGATGCTTGGCCGGCTTTTTTCCTGAGTGCAGAAATAAATGGGCCTGTGGTAAAATCATTTGTCCCTTTGTCTTGAGACACAGTGGGACCAGTTTTTCCCCGACTTGTCTGTGCACAGAGAACAGAGGGTTCTTAAACAGAGGAGCCTTTATACAGAGGTTTGCAGATGGTAGCTCTTGCCTCCACACAAGGGGCATCTTGCCTCCTTAGGGGGAAAGAGGCATCGTATTAGAATAACTGGTTTAAGAACAAGGATTTGGGGCTGGGTAAATAGATGGCTCAGTGGTTAAGAGCAGAGCACTTGGATTCAGTATCCGGCACCCACATGATGGCTCACAACCATCTCTAACTACAGGGTATCCAAGACCTCTTATGGCCTCTGCAGGCACCAGCATGTATGTGATGCACATATATGCATCCTGGCAAACCACTCATGCATATAAATACTAGTAAAGACCAAGGAATTGGTTATATTGTAAAAACCCTTTCTGGAGGATTTCAGGAGATCTCAAGGCAGACATTCTCCAAAAATTCTTACCTAATGAGAATTGGCCTTTACTTGACAAAGGTCCCTTTGAAGACTTTTTGAAACAGTGTCTCATAACCAGGCTCGCCTCATGCATACAGCTCTGGTCCTCCTGCTTGGTGTGCTGGTTAGTTTGTTAATGTGACATATAAATGTAGATGTATCTGAGAAGAGGGGATCTCAGTTAAGTAATTGTCTCCCTCAGACTGACCTATGGGAATGTCTGTGTGGGTATTTCTTGGTGGTTGATTGCTGTGGACAGTCTTATTCTTGAGCAGGTGGTCCTAGAAAGTAAAAGAAAGACATTTGAATGTGGGCCTGGGAGCAAGCCAGTAAGCAGCATTCCACAGTTCCTGACTTCCCTCAATAATGGGTTCTTTTTTTTTTTTTTTAAAGCTACTTATTTCTTCTTTTATTTAATTACCCCCCCCCCCCCCCCCCCCCCCCCCCCCCCCGCAACACACACAGGGCTTTTCTGTATAGCCCTGGCTGTCCTGGAACTCTCTGTAGACCAGGCTGTTTCCGAACTCAGAGACTCACTGCCTCTGCCTCCCACGTGCTGGGATTAAAGGTGTGGCGCCATCACCGCCCAGCTAATAATGGACTCTTAGGGGATATGTAAACCAAGTGATAAAACCCTTTCCATCCTAAGTTGCTTTCAAAAGTGAACCAGAACCCCTCCCATGTGCCGGGATACAGGTTTGTACTGTCCCGTCTAGCTCACAGTTTTTGAATTTGAAAGTGCCCCCCACCCAAACATTTGTCTCTTAGTTCTTTGCTAAGTTACACTGGGATATAAGTGATGTGGAGGGCCCCTTATTGCACCTCTCATATCTCGGTGCTTCAGGTTCTAGAGTAGTGGTTCTCAACCTTCCTAAAGCTCTGATCCTTTAATACAGTTCTTCATGTTGTGGTGACCACCCCCCAGCCCTCAAGTTATTTCGTTGCTACTTCATAACTGTAATTTTGCTACTGTTATGAATCACAGTGTAAATATCTGACATGCAGGATAAGAACAGCTATTCTAGAGCATCTCCATGTATCCCAGGACCCTTACAGTGAGCTAGGGCAGAGGCGCTCTAGAGCCCTTGGCACAGTAGGGACCGGAGAGCCCACAGCTCTTTTGCTGACTCTCCAGGCTACCACGTACTGTTCGCACTGTCTGTTAATAAGGATGGAATGAGTAGGACTCCAGAGGTTAGAAACATGTGCTGGTAAACATGGAAAAGTCACATAAGGGGGCAGAGGAGAGGGCCTCTGCAAAACAGGATTCACTGTGGTTCCTAAGGATTCTGGGCTGGTGTGAACAGTTCGTACTCCCTCACTAGGTAGGGCTAGGAGAATGCCTCCAGCCATAGCTGGTCCCTGTGGCTCATGACTAGGAACAGCCTACAGTTGGGGCGGTCAGAGGTAACCATAGACTTAATAGGTGGGGAGGGACTTGTCACAAGGTGCCAGCCAACCGAGACAGATGTCCAGTTCTTCCCACCAGGCAGAGGTCCTGTTTTTCCTGAGAATGTGCCAGTAGACCCTGGCTCTGCACCTCCCTGTGGATGCACTCCAAGTTAGAAAAGCAGATGCACCCTGCTCCATTGCCCTCCACTGCCCTCCTCCAGCCGGTGGCATGGTTGGGAGGGCCAGGTGCCCAAGCCCAGGGGCCAGAAGGCATTTGGCACTCTTCACCGGTGCGCACAAATTCCCGAGGATCCTAGAGACCTGGTGGTGCTGTGGTTAGTGGTGCAGTGTGGTACTTTCAGCTTTCCACCTAGAGTGGCTGCTTCGACTGGGCACGAGCATGGTTTCTAGGTTGGCTTAAGAAGGGGCAAGTGGTGATAGGTGTGGCAGAGTAAGGTAGACAATTCCTGTAAGCCGGGAAGCCATGCTGGAGGGAGAGAGGCGAGCGAGCACCTGGTTCTTCATTCTACTTCGCTGAGACACTGAACCAGACACAAGGCAGCTAGCAAGTAATTCTCTCTCCCTTTCCCTGATACTTATTATCTCCGAGTTTGGGCCTTATTCTCTAGCCTAACTGGCCTGGAAATCACAGCAGGCCTCCTGCCTCAGCACCCCCCAAATGTGGACTACAGGGTCAACCTCCCTGCCCAGTTGTAATTTTCTACTCATGGAAAAATTGTAAATGCTGCCACCTGTTGACCAAATGTCCACGTGCATCCCATCCACTTTCAGCACCCCTGCCCAGGTGGCATCTCTGTGTTCTGGGCACATCAGAAATAAGCCCCACACAGGTCTCATATGCTCTGTCAGCAACCCAGTTTAGTGGGGTAAGTACCACAGTGGGTTGTTGGCAGTCTCTCTGGGATTACCGTTGTGAGTAGTAGGCTGTTTAGTAAGAATATTTTCTGTCTGTCCACTTTCCCCTTCCTCCTTCCCTCCATCTCCCTCATCGCCCCTCCCTTGCCTTGCATGTGTATACACCTACAACTGCAAGTTGTGGGTTTTGAATCCAGAGTCTTACAGCCTCCCTCTTATTGAGCTGCTCTCCACATCCCCAGAAATGGTTACTTTTAAATATGAATTTTCCTTCTCTTCCTCTCCCTCGGGTTGGGGGCGGGCATTTTGAGATAGGGTTTCTCTGTGTAACAGTCCTGGTTGTCCTGGAACTCAGAGATCCGCCTGCCTCTGCCTTCCAAGTGCTGGGATTAAAGGCATGCACCACTACCACCTGGCTGGTAATGGATTTTCCTCTTCAAAGATTTTCATGGATCTTATTTTAACTTGGAATTTATTTATTTAATTTTCTTTTTTTTTTTTTTTTAATTTTTATTTCCTGGAGCTGAGGACCAAACCCAGGGCCTTGTGCTTACTAGGCAAGCACTCTACCACTGAGCTAAATCCCCAACCCCTTAACTTGGAATTTATATAGGGGTACTTTTCACAAGCCAATGTCCTAACAATTCCGTCATTGTTCCAAGAACTTGAGTCTCATTCGGTTCCAAGGGTAAATAAATCTCTAGAAGGGAGTGTGGATCAATAGATATCAAATGCTAACTATATAGATTAGAGAAGCAAAACGTGTACGTTTCTTCAATGTCCCTCCTCCTGTCTTTATGAATAGCTCATCGTAGACGATCTTGATTGACAGGCCTTCATTCACAATGTCAGCACGTTCATTTCACACATACATGTGCCACCAGTGGTGAAAGAGCCAGGTTCACCATACTTTTGCCTCGCTGTGTTCTTGGCAGCCTAGGATGTTAGAATTACATCTGCATGACTCATGTGCTCAGGCCAGCTTGAGACAGTGATACAGACCAGTTTGAAGGATACACCACATATACCCTCGGAATCCAGGGCTTAAGACCCTAATCTACATTCTTGTCTAGGCCTGAACCCTAAAGCTGAGCATAACGCCGAGGCTAAGAATGGGATTTGAAAATCTTGAAAGTAGTTAAATGGCACTTTTCTTTTTGGTTTTTTGAGACAGGGTTTCTTCATGTAGTTTTGGTGCCTGTCCTGGATCTCACTCTGTAGTCCAGGCTGGCCTCGAACTCACAGAGATCCGCCTGCCTCTGCCTCCCGAGATCTGGGATTAAAGGTGTACACCACCACCGCCCGGCTTAAATGGCACTTTTCAAAGCCTTGCCTTTACGTCTAATCAAAGCAGCAGCCTGTTCTCCGGTACCTATGACAGTAGCCCAGATATCTGTGGAGGTTCAGACTATTGCCAGGGCCGTTGTTCTAGGATACCACACCTGTCCTGATGAGGCTGTCTAAGACCTGCCACTTCTAACCACTGTTGTTTATGTAATGCTTGGACAGGAACTAAAAGGCAGGCTGGCTAGACCTCCCTGTCCCATAAGTCTCCTCATACCTTATTATGAGAACAACAAAACCAGCAGTGCCCATGAGCCCAGATTTATATTTTGTTACTTTTCCACATTTAGAAAAGTAGACAGATCTGTAATTTTTGTAGCAACCAAATGGTTTTCAAAGGACTAGTTACTTTTGAATCAGGCTTAACTAAAGATAGTCTCCCTATATAGCCCTGACAGAACTTGCTCTGTAGACCATGCTAGCCTCAAAGCTCACCTCTCTCTACCCCAGTGTTGGGGTTAGAGGTGTGTGTTCCACCATATTCAGTCAGGCTTAGGTAAAAAAAAAATTTTTCTTATTGAGACAGGGTCTCACTTATTTCCCAAGCCGGCCTGGAACTCACAACGCTCTTGGTGTATCCTCCCAAATACTGGAATTACGAGTGTTTGCTGTCATTTTCCTGGCACATTTCAAGTGTGCCATATGGAATTGTTAGGTTACGGGATACATACCATGCAGGTGAATATCTGGGTAAAGGCATCTATTGGTTCAGGATTTCAAGGCTATGCCTGCAGTTACTTGTGGTAACCTGAGAATAAATAACAGACTGTAAGCTAAAAGGCCCCAGATAGGAGCCTGCACTCTCCTGCAGAGGAGGAAATGAAGAAAGTACTATGTGCCCAACAGCACATGGTGGTGGTTAAGGCAGAACTTAGCGCAGGCTAGGCTAGTGCAGTCTGCTTTCAGTCATGTGAGTCCTAGATCAAGCATGTAAGCTGAGCCATAAAAGAGCATTCTTCAGAGGTCGTTACAGACTCTTTGTTTTCTCCTTTTGGATTGTGTAGACTTTCTTATTCCCCATGCTCAGTGGACAGTGTCTTGCAGTTGATTTTTGTTTGTTTGTTTGCTTGCTTTGGCCTCTAGGGTTCCCGAGGACATTAGTACAGGCAGAAGCCTTGGACAGAATCTGCGATGTGGACCTTGTGGTCAGTTTGAATATTCCTTTTGAGACACTTAAGGATCGTCTGAGCCGACGATGGGTCCACCCTTCTAGCGGGAGAGTCTATAACCTGGACTTCAACCCGCCTCAGGTGCAGGTAAGCCACGCTGAGTGCTGGGCGGGGACGTGAGTATACTGTTGAGAAAGAAAAAAAATTTTACATGGCCAAGAAGCATAGAAAGAGTTGAAATTCAGTAGTAGTCAGAGGGGAGATCTGGGACTAAGGCTTAACAAGATGGAGCCCTGCTGGAGACCCGGGGAAAGCTGTGTTCTCCTTTTTGTTTCATGAATTTCATTTAACTATTAATGACTCCTTATTTTATTTTCGTTTTTTGAGACAGAGCTTCTCTCTGTAACAGTCATGGCTGTCCTGGAACTCATTCTATAGACCAGGCTGGCCTGGAACTTACAGAGATCTGTCTGCCTCTGCCTCCTGAGTGCTGGGATTAAAGGTGTATGCTACCACACCCAGCTATTGATGCTCATTGATTGATTGATTGATGATTGATTGAGACAGGGTCTCTTTTATATAGTTCTGGCTGTCCTGGATCTCACGATGTAGACTGGCCTCAAGCTCAGAGTACTGAGGCGATCCTTAGAACCATATGGCAATGTACATTTGTGAGGATAGCCTGAACAAGTGAGAAAGCTGTGCATATTTCAGTGCTTATAGTAGCCAAAAAGCAAATAAAAAGGAATGTTCTTCAATAGGACTGTTTAGATAAACTGGACAATATCCGCATGCTCTTGGGTTACAGGATTGGTAAAAAGAATGAACATGGCGGTTTCTTTGCCCTCCAGTGTTGGATCAGAACCCCTGAGGCTTGTTACACTTATCAAGTATCCTACCACAGGGCTACACCTCTGTTTCCAGATTAACCACCCCCTTTGCCCAATAGGTAGCCTAGGCTGCCTCTAACTCAAAATTCTCCAGCCTTCCTTGGTCTTCCAAATGCCTGAGAGATTATGGGTGTGCACACCACGCCTGGTTCAGACTACTTGTGATTTGTCTTTCTGTTAATTTTTTTCCTCTGACTCCCTGATCATGGCCGATGGAAGTCATGCACGAACTCATTGTGTCCTTTCTGAACTGGAATAGGTAGCATGGTATCTGAATATAGATGGAGGCAGTCAAAAGTTACTTTAGGGTGGTATTAATTACCACTGCTGGTTGCCATTGTGCCAACACTGCCCTTAATGATGCCAGTTCACCTGTGATAAGCATCAGCCCCCCACCTCTCCCCCTTTTCTTGTTATTTCCCCGTCCTAGCTAATTGCTTTGCTCATCCCGTCATTTATTTCATAGACCCAGTTTCATTGTGTTGCCCAGACTGGTCCTAGCCTTCTGAGTGGACAGTGTACCGCTGAAGTGTAACCCAAGAAAGGGCGATAGGAAAATAAAATGGGAGAGAAGAAAGAAGTTTGAAAACACAGACAGGAAAACAGAAGCCTATCTCAAAGGCCCCTGTTCTGGCCTTACTAAGACGTGCTCATCAATTCTTAAAATATCTGGAAAGCTTTACTTGCTAGCGTGTTCCTTTCAAAAGCCCAACTCTCCCTAAAAGAACCCCTCATGTGAATGTATGCTGTTTCCAGAGACGGCTGTGGAGCGAACGGCCAGCTCCACCAGCCACTGGTGTCTTCCCCGGGATAGAGTACTGCCCGGGTGTCCTTCTGCTACTTCTAGAAGCATCAGCTGTGTTTGCTGGTACTCAGCAATGAGTTCTAAGCATGGCAGCCCTCAGTAAAACATGGATCAGTCACAGCCTCTCCTCTTCTGCCATGCCGACACTCCCTGTGATAATGATGTGCATTACCATGCATCATCAATGTAATACCCGAAGCCCCCAGCTGCAGCAGGATTTCACTGTGTTTTAAAGTCATGGACAGCTTCTAATGGTCCACGTGAGTGGCCTCAGCCTTGTTGTTCCTCCCCAGCCTGTCTCTGACAGGCTCACTTGTGCAGCTTCCCCCAGAGAGAACAGCTGGGGGCTTGGGAGCAGAATTCTGATGCTCCTGCTGTGCATTCATGTGTGCATTCATGTGTGCATTCATGTGTGTATTCATGTGTGTAGGTAGCTGTGATTCATAGAGGATTCAAAGTAGCAAAAAGGAAGTTTGTTTGTTTGTGCAGCCCTGGCTGGTCTGCAGCTAACTACTTAGATCAGGTTGGCCTTGAACTTGCAGATAGATCCACCTGCCTCTACTGGCATTAAAGGCACATGCAACCACAGCCACTGAAATTTTTATGTATTTAAATTGATCATTTCTTAGAGTGCTTGTCTCTGATCGTCCTTTGTATTCGAGTCACGCTTATTTTGATATACCTTAGGACATGCCATGAATTTCAGAGACTGCGCCATAGCAGTTTGAAAGCTAGCAGAGGCAGTATGGAACCAATTTTTTTTCCCCACATTTTTTGCCCTTTTATTACAGGTATTTGTTTGCATCCATGTGCAAATGGATGTGTACTTGTGTGGGTACCATGGCACAAAGTGTGGAGGACTAAGGTCATTTTGCAGCAGTCTCCGTTTACCTTGTGGGTCCAGGGTCATCAGGCCAGGCTTGGCAGCAAGGGCCTTCACCCGGGAGCCACCTTGCTAACTCCCCAGTTTTTTCCCCCATAAGAAGCCAGAATTTAGAAAGCAAAGCCGTGTGGGGGGTGTTTAGCGGGACCAGCATGGCATTGTGTAGATATGTTGTTTAGGGAGGATTCCCAGAATTTAGAGTTGAAAGTGCCATTTGTCAGTAGCACTGAGGCGTGTTTATAAGGATGTGAATAGTTAGGGGAGATTTAGTGCCCTTCTCGGGACATGCGGTCAGCATGACGAAACCCCAGGCATGTTGCATGTGTGGTTGGAGTTCACTTTGATCATGTGGGTTTTTAAGAAGAAAGTTCTGACCTTGGAAATGCCCAGTGACTGGCCATGTTAACTGGCTCCTCTGGTGTTTTAGGGGGTTGATGACGTCACTGGTGAGCCGCTTGTCCAGCAGGAAGATGATAAACCTGAAGCAGTTGCTGCCAGGCTACGACGATACAAGGATGCGGCGAAACCAGTCATCGACCTGTACAAGTGAGTGTGTGTCCAGTGTATTCATGGTCGGGTCCAACCAGGAAATCGTAGGGCCTGATGGGAGGAACGCTGGGCTGAGCTAGATGATGCTTCCTCCAGCTAACTATGTCTGAAGGCCCACACTTCCCAGATGGTGGGTGAAGTGATAGAGTGGTGTTATAGATGAATTGCTAAGTGGTCTTATTAAATAAAAACCTGCAGCTAGATATAGGAGTGAAAACCTGAGAGATCAGGGAAATAGGAAAAGCCACAAGCTAACCTCACCTCACCGAGACACCTCAGTCTTCAAAGAGAGAGAGCTACTTCATGTATACCCACGCCTATACCATTCTGTTCTCTCATTGACTCTCTCAGCTGAGCTTCATCACTTCCTCTTCTTGCCCAGTTCTGTCACTTCCTGTTTGTACAGACCTCTAGACAGACCTCTGTGGTTAGTGCTGGGATTAAAGGTGTGTGTGTGTCACCACACTTGGCTCTGTTCCCTAGTGTGGCCTTGAACTCACAGAGATGAGCCTTGAACTCACACCCTGCCTCCCAAGTGATAGGATTAAAGACATGTGCTATGATTGCCTGACTTTCATGTTTACTTATAGTGGCTGGCTTTCTCCTCTGATTCTCAGACAAATTTTATTGTGGGGGACACAATACATCACCACAAGTGGTATATGGGAGGTACAGTCTAGCATGTTCAGTCAGGAACTATTAGAACATGAAGACTTAAAAGTATCTGTCTGTATTATGTCTGGACTTCTCTTTTGGGGCTTGGGGTGGGGTTGGGTGGGTTTTTTGCAGTTGAGGCTTTAATGCGTGTTCTACAGGTGTTCCATCTCTGAGCTCCACTCTCGCCCCCAACCCTCATTATCTTATTTAATTGCCTCAGATATTTTGACATTCTATCATGTAAATAAGTGATTCAGGTAGACTAGGATTGGCTGTAAAACTATGAACAGACCAGGGGATGGTTAGAACCTTGGATCTTTGCCTGTACTGTGATGTTAAACAACCTCAGTGATGTTTATTGGGTTGTCTTTCAGGAGCCGCGGAGTGCTCCACCAGTTTTCTGGGACGGAGACTAACAAAATATGGCCTTATGTTTACACGCTTTTCTCAAACAAGATCGCACCTATTCAATCCAAAGAAGCATACTGAGCCTGCCATCGGAAGAACCAAGAAGACATGGTCGTTCACTCAATCATGCGTGTAGTCCTGGTGCCCTGGCCAAATTAGAAGCTAGCTGAGATAGCGTGCAGCATCTTTTCTAGTTTAAGTGATGAAGTAATGAGGCAAATGTAGTGGGTAGAAAGAATTCATGAAGAAGAAACCCTCCTGCCTTTGAAAAGAAGGTATAGCTCTGCAGGTGCATCATGCCCTTCATGGGAAAGTGAGTACAGACTGGGTTTCCACCAGTGTTGAGCCTACACTAGATGGGTTGACAGCCACGTGCTGCCCTCATAGCCTTTTTGCATGCGATGGTGGAGGAATCTCTGGTTCCTGCCACCTTCCACAGGCTGTTGA